TCAGATACGGCATTGCAGACAATAATGGCCTAGTTGCATCAGCCAGCATGACGTAGGATGGTATGCGAATACAGGAAATAAACCATGACATTTGCGGGCGTCTCGTGTAAGGCTTGGGATGACTTGCACTCTGCACTCGCCAAAAACAGTCCAACGTCAGCATCCGTCCCTGTTCCGAGAATGATACCGCTTCGGCTCCAAGCTGTCATCAGTCGTTGGATGGGGGAGGGCTGTATCAGCACTGCTCAGCCGTGTTCCAAACATATCAGCAGTCATGAACTGCTCAGGGTGAAGTTTATTTATACAATTAGCGTGAAGATGTTCTGTCTCGTTTGATCCATCTGAGCTTTACTGGAAGCACCAATCGGCGTTGGCAACAAAATGTGGAATGCATCTCGCAAAACAGTTTCTGAATCGTAACAAAATATATTTTTTAACGGGCGAATCACCAGACACCTACCGATTTAACGTTTTGCAACATGAAACTAAATACAATGTGCTTTGTGTTGCAACACTTTTGGAGAAAGCCCATTTAGAAATCACGGGATCTGCATCATCTTAGCGCTCTTCAAATCCATATCGATCAGAGCCAGTGGTTTAGGAACACGATGGAACAGGGAAGCGGCACGGCAACCCGCCTTTGCGAAATTAAACACCAGTAGTCTTTCTCACAAAGGCAGTTTTTTTGTACATTTGTATTGTAGTTTGTAAATTTGTGTGTGTAGTTGTAAAAATGTGTTTCATAAAGCAGAAACCTACGAACAGCAACTACAACTTACAAAGCCACAAAACCACACACAAAAAGTGACGAATCTCTCGAGAATTTCTACAACCTTACCTTGGTATGTTTGATAAATGCCAGCTAGCTGATTTTCCAGCCGCGGTGCATTTGTAAGATTACAAGCACAAAGTACAACTACAAATCAACGATGGCCTGCCCCGTTGTAGAATGGGTGATCGTAAGCTTAAGGCAATGCCAGTAGGGAAAATGGATTGTGGACGCAAAGCTCGCAGAAGGCTTGCAAGAATCCTCCGGGGCAAAATAAACAAGTAATCAGAGGAAGCCGAATGACAAACACGCTCGCAGAACACAACGCTCAGCGGAAACAACCCAGTTATGGTGTTGATGGATTTAATCATCTGTAACTCCGCGTATGGCCCGTGCAACCAAGCGTGCAGCAAATTGATTCCTTTGCGCTATTACCCATCACCATAAGTGACCTTGGCAGCCGCACCGATCCGATCGAAATCCTGCGTTGTCATGTACTCGCGCGTTGACGGGGTGGGGGAGGGGGGGGGGAGGAGTGAGGTACTGATCGAAGGTGATCATTTTCCGTGAGCAGGCCTACTGGCATCTAATGTCACTGCCAGGATGAAATAGCTGTACTAATAGATTATGAAATGCCTCAATTTGAAGTGTAGTTTCTACTCATGCAAGCGACGGCAGGTACACTCATCCTATCAAACTGCGGGCAAGCGACGACATTCACGTTGACGCCAAACAGGGACAGCTATCGCCGGGTGTGAACGATGCATGAATCCCATGCCCGTGAGTAGAATATAAGTGTCTATCATGGTAACAGAACACTGTATTATGCTGCTTCACTAAGTCACCGTTTCGCTGGTTGCCATGACAGCTGCCATTATTATGTGTGTTTACTTCTGCTTAAGACTGTGAGACGCACGGTGAATACAGTGACAAATATACTTGATTGCTGACATTGGGGAACCTAATGTTCTGTTCCTTGACACTTCCGATACATTTGTTTTCAAACCGCGGTATTTATGATGATCCATAGCATAATTATTTTTTTTGCGCTCGTCGGACATTGGCAATGTCAGCTGGCGGGTGAAACACTGGAGGGGGGGGGGGCATCATTGGATTTACTATTGGTGGAATCCCGTGCGACTCAGCACAGGAAATGACGTCACTGGTGCCCTGTGTCATTGGCCCCCGCACGCTGCTCTCTCCATCGCCGTGGCGTAGCGGAAACGTAGGGTAGATGCAACATTGAAAGTGGATAGGAGGCAAGGCAATTAATAGCCCTTCAAACTTGGATTAGAAGTATCAGGTAAAGTCGTGCTGGTTCGTTAGTGTCTCTATTATCCCTGCAAGCAGGGCGTCACTTTTTCTAAGTGATCGGGAATAAACTCAGGACCCAGATGAAATGCATATTTTGTGATAGGGTAAGCCATTTTCCGCATCTCCCCCAAAAAACAACAAATTATCCAGCGACATTATGCCCTTGTGAGGAATTGTGAGCCTAACTTCGCCCTAAATAATTTTTACCGGCTCTTAGGCCACTATTTTAATGTACGGTAGTTTTTTCAGGTTAGTGACACGGAATAGTCCTTTGTTTTAGTAGAACGGTCATCAGCCGCAGGTCATGTCTGAAGAATGTCTCTGTGGTACTTATATTTCCCGGATATTTTGTAGCATTGGGGTCAAGATATTTGTGAAGGGGGAGGGGCAACCAAATGTGGTAGACGGGTGTCAAACGAGGGCCCTCACAAACTCACCAAGGGAACGAATCGACTCTGGCCTACAAGATCGTAGTCTTCAAACCCTGCCGTCGCTGCTGTTGGATTGTTTGGGAGGAGCACAGACAAGGGGCGTTCCATTCTGCCACAGGTCTTCATCTTTACCTCAGCGCTCTCATATAATCAAAATTGGCGTGATGCGTTCTCACTGAGGCATGCTCGCACCCTCTTAAGAAAATATCGATTGCACCCCTGCTGTTGGTACGAATTAATGGCAAGTGGGTGCGGAGGCTAGCTAAGCACAGGTGAAAAAGAGCCCACTTTATCTTATCATGTTGCCACAGCGCCTGACAAGGGATCCTGTATCAGCAAGGGAATCCGAGTCGGCAGTGGGCCCGCTTGCTAGAAAGGAGCAGTGACGGGACCTGGAATGTCAGCAGGCCTCTTACATTGTTGGGGCCCCCGACAATAAAGGGAGATGGGAAATAGGGCAATAATAGGGCCCGCATTGATTGACACCATGGAATGGTTATGTGGCGGACAGTAGTAACCCCATAACCTACAAATGGCCTTGCTCCGTTTTGCCCAGAGGCCTGATTTTGTTAACAGCGATCCCTGTGTCACTCAGTAGATCCCCTGTACCTGCAAGAAATTATTGTGCGTCACTGAAAGCCTCTACCGCGAGTCGCACTAACTGCTCCCGTCAGAGGATGGCCGGCGTCATAGACCAGTGTTTCTTCAGAGGGCCTCTGAATCGATCATGAGGCCCGGCGACCGTGTCACCAGAATGTCGCACCATAAGTATTCTGTGGCCCCCCGTGCTTCACTGACGACGCCGCCTGAACGGAACAAGCATGTGTTGTCAGTGTTCATTTCATGGACCATTCGTTAACACGCCCGTCGGAATAAGTGGATAAAAACAGACACGGAAGAAAAGGAAACTTTGGTGCCCGCTGAAAACTTAGGAGCACCAGGGGCCTTCCATAAAGCACTGTGTCACTCCTGCTCCACCAGGATTCTGGGTGCGACCTTGGGCACGTGCACATGGGTGACACAGAAATCGGCGCCGGAAGGAGCGGTGACAGCGAGAACGGCGAGCCCGACTGCGTGAGCCTGACTGCATGCATTGGCAACAGAGTCTCGCTCAATATGGGCGATGTAATTTAGGTTAGGTTTACCGAATTCGCACCGAACTAATCGTTTGCTAGCGCAACGTGTTTTTAGGGACGGAAGGAAGAAAGGGTGGCTTTTCCCAGCAAATTTGGCTTACAATGCAGCTGTGACCAACGGAAATGCAAATATCCAGATCGTAATCTGCATCGTGCGGGGCTGCGCGCTGCTCTCGCTGTGTCAAGACTCCAGTGACGTCACGTCAACGTTGGGCGTATGGGGTGCTAAAAAGCTGGTCAGGCGTACTTCTTATGCGTCCTTGGCAAGGCCGGTGATTGGCAGCGACAAATTACACACAGCGCAGAGTTTTGCATTTGCAATTCTACAACCCGCGCTAATTTTATGAAACAGTTGTAAGTTGTAGTTCGCAAATTCTAAATTACAACTTACAAACACAAACTATTTGTGACAACTCTTCGTGAGAAAGGCTACAGCTGTATGGCTATGCCCAGCAAAATAGAAAACGGCCCTACATTGAGAACATGCTTTTAATAACTTTCTTTTAAAGGAACACGTTTTTATGTCACACCCTAAAATTCGACAATCGCTGTTTGTCAGCACAAGGGGCGCGGCGAAGGGAGTGACCGGGCTAGGGAGAGGCGCCCCCCCCCCCCCCCTAGGGCCAGGATATTCCATTTTTTACCATAGAGGGCAACCGACATGAAGTTGAAAATCAATGTGGTGCGTACTCATCGAGGTCTGGGGCTTTGCTTTAAAGGGAGTGTTCCACATTTTGTGCGGGTTTTGAACTGAAAGAGCCATCTTAAAGATCACTCGGTTCAGTTTACAGCCGTGCCCTCCTTAAAACGTAACATCTTCTAGGTTCTGAGATGCACGTCCGCGACGATGTGCGGACTTTTTTTCGGGGAGACTATTTTAAAGTCACTCAGGCATCCCTGACGCCACAATAACACCATTCAAACCTTACCATGCTATGACCACGCGGCAATCAAGGCCAATACAGATAAAATTGTCACGTCGTTCATACCTGGCGTTCCTGTGCACGGTTTCCAGATATAACGACCGCCACCTGGCTGTAAATCAATGTTGTGCAAGGTGTGATGACGTAATCAAGCAATGACGTATTGAGAAGCATATTTGCTAAACAGAGATATTGTGTTGTCTCGAAGAGCCCCTTTCGCTCAAAAAGTATACCAGTAGTCAAAGTGAGTGTATTTTATTATATCTCATGCTTGCGTCAACATCATAAAATGTGGAGCATTCCCTTTCAAGGAAACCTTGGCCGCCAGCCGTATCTTTTGGCCACGTTGGTTCTCCTTGTTTGCCAACTACTTCATCCAACCACCAATACCACAAGCCACTGACATTTTGGCTGCACGCAAACTCACCTGCTTTTTGTTCCGTGCTTTCCATTTTCGCGAACAGAGAGCGGCTCCGTGCCCTGCGCCGGCAATCCCGCACACTTCGGAACGCGCCAACACGCGACCACCACTGCCGGCAGACACTGCGACACTCTGCCACGCGACCACCACTGCCGGCAGACACTGCGACACTGCCACGCGACCACCACTTCCGGCAGACACCGCGACACACCGCCGCGCCACCGCAGAAACACGGACACACCTGCTGTCCGCGCCGTTCCGCTCAGACCCTATGCCGGCCCCCGCTAAGCTGTCGTCTGTCTGTCTGTGTGGTGCGCACGCCCCGCGCCGCTCGAGGCGCCTGGAAGGCCCCGCCCACCGCACCTCATGTCTTACAAGGTCCCGGAGCCGGACCTCGACCCGCGGTGTCAGAGACCGGCCCTGGCGGGAAGTGTTCTATATGGGATGGTTATCGGAGAGCGCTATCGCTCGCCGGGTTTCCCAGATTACAGACTACAGCTTGGAGATCATCCGGATTTGTTCAATTTTTGCGCCAACACCGAATTTGCGTCAACTGCCATTCTGCGAACCTCAGAAAAAGTGTTGGATCCAGGCGTCTGGTGCCGTGTTACTGCTCTTGCCTCTGATTGGCAAGCTAGCCAATGTGGAGTTGCTGGCTGTATCAGTGACGTCAATGGTCGTTTTAATTATGTTGCGCACGTGTCATTTATTTACCACAAAATCTGCGACTGATTTAGAACGCGTAGTCAGTGGCATGCAGTACAATTATCAGGATTTTGCAGGATGCGCGGTTAACACGCGCTCGGGTGTGAACTTTGACCCCCTCTTAAAGTTTTTGCAAAACAACTTCCAAATGGCGCAGCGTAGCCACATCAAACTTCGCTTCGCGCACAGTAGTTTATGAAATTAAAAGATTAAAAGGTTAACCTCCTTAGGCCAACGACCTGGAGCAGGTCGAAATGAGGACGAGGCTGTCAGGGAAGGCAATCCTGCAAAATATTTCTAGCTGGTGCGGCAGCGGAGTGCCATGCATTACTCTACAATTTTGAGATGGTTTATCATGCATTATCTCAATATTCATTATCATTATGACTCATTCCATTGACCCTGGGTCAGATATGGAGATCAGATCAGGGTCAAAACTAAACTACTGTTTACTGGAATTTTGTTTTACGGGGTAGTTTATGGCGTTCATTTCGATTTTCTACATTGCAAGTAGGTCAGCGGATTCCTTATTTCGATTCCTCTACTTTCCTCTTTCTTTTCAAGCTTTCTCAGTTCTTGTGGACAATTATGAATAGTCTGACGCATCAGGAAATGATATAACCTTCCAATGTTCCAATATCACGAGAGATATTACTTGCGTAGCGTTACCAAACGCTCACAGTTGATGCGTTGAAAATGCGAGGACGAATTCGGATTAGTCTGCACCGGCCCTGCCACATGTCGTTCTGAACTCACCCATTCTCACTGACAACTCACCGAGTCCGCCCACCAATTCCGTCAGCACCTCCGTTACTAGTTCCGGAGCTCTGGGAGTGGCCACGAGTCACACTCTTTGCCAACTGTCACGAGCAGCCTCAACGAGGTCACGCCGGCCACGACCCGCTGTCATCGGTACGATGCGGGGCGGGGCGAGCGAGTGGTCTACGAGGCCAGGGAGACCTCGACACTCGGCATGATACACGATGCGGTGGTGCAGGTTCATGATCACGTGGTGAGCGTGGGCCACAATGTGCGGCGATGTACGCTATGCAGTCAGAAGCATCAGGAAGAGGGCTAAAAGATGCGAATGTGAAATCACACAGGGAGATCCAGAACAAGTAACGATTCTCTTCAACAAACAGACCTGCTCTAGGCATTACATGGGTAGTAGAATCAGGATACAAGCAACAAGCTGTGTGCACTCTCTAAGCTCGCGACTACCCATTCAAAGCATGTGTAATAATTAAAATACAACATTAGGCTTTGACAAAAATCTGAAGTTTGGCGTTTATGTGAAGTTTAGTGTACCAACTAAATATGGAATAGCATGCTGTCTTTCTTATTGTTTTCAAGATCTTAGTGTGTGACTATTCTGGAGTCCCATAAGCAAGGCTCATCGATTATGCAATCATGCGGATAATCCGCAAACCGCATAACTGTTATTTCCGCGCGGGCGACCGTCACTGTGGTTCTCCGCGCTATCAACAACTATGACTGGCGTTTTGTGTTTTTTGTTTCTTTTTTTACTGGTGGGGGCGGTGGCGCCGGTGACACCACAGGCACCAGGTCCATGATGGGCGCGATGTCAGACGCAACGCACATCTGGTCGCCGGCCAGGCTGTGCGGTGAGGCGGCGGCGACGTCTGGAGACCCAGTCGTGCTCGACACCGGGTCTAACCACCTGACAGACAGCCGCCCAGTGGGTCGAGGAGATCGGAGCTGAGGTGGCGGTGACAAAAAAAGGCGCCGGCGCGGTGTTGGCGGGCGTGTCAGCCGCGGGTCGTAGCAGGTCGCCGGTAAAGCTGGGCGGTGCGCTGTCATTGGCGACCTCTGGCTCGGCGGTGCTCGGCGCTGAGCGGCCTCGTCTTCGGCGTTATCGGGGCACGTCAGGTGCTCACTGGGCACGCGCGCCGGCGGCGCCATCATCTGGTCAATCCACTCCATGATTCTGACTGTCGCTGGTCGCCACGCTGTCCTCCTGATTGCCGGCGCTGGCGATCAGGAGTTGAAGCGGGCGGAGGAACCGACGATCCTGTCAGAAGGGCAGGTGCAGTTGATATTTGCTGCAGGCGCCGATGAAGTTCGTGATGCCCTGGTCCACCTGGGGCCAGTACACCGCCTGCCGTGCACGCCTCTTGTTCCGCTCGACGCCCTGGTGGCTGGCGTGAAGTTTCTGGAGATTGGCGCGACGGAGGTACTACGGTATCACCAACCGCCGGCCGCACACCACCAGGCCGTCATCCACTGCCAGACAGTTTCGGAGGCCCAAGTAGGGGTCCAGCAGCGGGTCCAGCTGCGTCCGATGCTCTGGAAAACCGGCCAAGACGGCATCTTTCAGCGCGATCATCTCCGGGTCCTTCTCAGCGACGGCGCGGAGTTCTGGCAGCGCGACGTCCCGGAGCGGGCTGGCGCCACCGTCGGTGTTGGTGACGTCACTGACGAGCCTGGCGACCATACTGGCGATCTGGTGACTGACGTCTTGTTCCGCTTCCTCGTCGTCAGGCGTTGGGTCATCCATGGGTGCCCGAGGCAGCGCGTCTGGGATGGCATACGACTTTCCCTGCCGCCGGGTGGCGACTAGGCTGAACTGGCCGAGTCGCTCCCGGAGACGCCGTAGACGAGGGTTCTCGATGTTCGCCATGCTTTTCGAGTTGAGAATGGGGGTCAACGGCCGATGATCCGTCATCACCTCGAACTGCTGCATACCGCTGATATATATGCTGCATGTTTGGCACGCCCACGCCAGGGCCAGCAGCTCGAGTTCAATCACTGCGTAGCGTGACTCCGTCTCCGACAGGAACCGAGATCCGCACTGGATCAGGAGCCACCGGCCAGCCCTGTCCAGCTGACGGAGACAGAAGCCGAGACCCCCGGCGTGGGCTGCGTCAGCAATCCGCAGCGGATTGAAAAAGTCCAGCACGGCAGGCGACAGCAGCGCCATCTTCACGGCGGCGAACGCCTGATCGTGGGCCGGCGTCCATAGCCAGGCGTTCCGTGGCCGCAGCAGCTGACGGAGCGGCTCAGCGGCCGCGGCGACGTCAGAGGAGAAGGACCTCAGCTGGTTGACTAGGCCGAGGAATGATCTCAGGTCGGTGATGTTGCTGGGCTTCGGGAACGACTTAATGGCTCGAATCGTCTCATCGTCAGCGGTGTAGCCAGTCGAGCTGATGTTGTAGCCGCATAATTCTACTTCCGCCTCCGCGAAGCAACACTTTTCCGGGTTCAGGGTGATCCCATGCTTTTCACACCGCTGAAGTATTTGGTGCATGTCCACCACGTGGGCTTCGTACTCAGAGTCATAGGTGAGCACATCGTCCACCACTTTGCAGGTGTTCGGGATGTCTCCCAGGGCGGCATCGCCGCGCTGGTTGCACACATCGCCTGAGCTGACGATGTCCATCGGGGTCCTCTTGTTCCTGAACCTGCCCCACGGCGTGATGAAGCACGTCAGATCTTGATCCTCCTCTCCGATTGGGACCTGGCGGTAGCCGGCCTTGCTGTCCAGCTTGGTGAAGACGGTCGCGCCAGGCGTGATTGCCGCCACCGCGTCCTGCGGCGGGCGGACTGGGTGGGCCGGCCTCTTCATGAATCAATTCAGCTTCGTAAAATCGACCGTGAGGCGGCAGCCTGACACTGCACCACCTGGCGACCGCTTCGCCACTGGGACGATGAGATGACACCACGGCGTGGGGTGCTCGACGGGCTCTAAGATGTCCTTGCTGAGGAGGTCGTACAGCTGCTCTCTGACATCCTGTCTCCAGCAGAACGGAATGTTCCTCGCTGTCGATAGCGCATGGGGGACGGCGTCATCTGTCAGTTCGATTCGCATCGGCTCTCCCACCATCTTGCGCAGAGGTGATTGGACGTCGAAGACGCGGGGAAACGCAGCCTTCAGTGCCTCAAACTGATGTTTCCGTTACTGTGCCGAGGGGGCGCCACCGGTGCTTTGCTGTGCCGGGGCGTCGCCACTGGTTCCCTGCCGCGTCGGGGCGGCGCCGCCGATCCCAGCGAGGCGCTCCGGCTGTGTTACGGGCGGTTCCATTTCTCTGTCTGAGGACGAGCCGGCTTCTCGCTGCTTCGACATAGCCTCTTGCGCGGCGCCGCGCTCCGCCGCCACTGACACCGTTGGCCCTGCCCCGGCACCAGTAGCGCTGAAGCTGGCCGCGCCGCTGTCCGGGACAGACGTGGTTCCGGGGCGTCGGTACCCTGCGGCCGGCGGAGAGCGCGCCGCGGGCGGTGACGCAGCGGTGACATGCCGATCCGGCGTCGGCCGGCGCGGCGGGCCCCTGCTGACCTGTCGAATCTGCACCGGGAAGCTCGGAGGGAGTATGCCGAGCACCATGCAGTCGTGCCAGGACAGCAGAGGGCTGTGCAGACCGAG